TGATCATAATACCCGACGGCGCGACAATTAAACGATGCGCGCGGAACGCATTATCCCCTGAAGAGGATATCCGGATCAGAACTTTCCTAATTATTAATTTGGATCGTCTGCATTCGGGTTGGGGTGGACGTCTTCGGGGGGTGATCAGAAGTCCTTTTCGGAAAGTCTCCGCGTTAATTCGAAATATGTAAAGGCATTGGTCGTTAACGAAGCCTATCAAAACTTTGAAGTGTTGTCATGGAGATTTACGTCAATTACATAACCTCGAGCAACCGAATCAACTTGTATATATCGTGTAGTTATGCAATTATTGCGGAGATTATTTGTAAAAGTGTTAGCACAAGTCTTATTAATGATTAAGAACATCTGGTTTGAGCTAATTGGAAATGATAAAGTATTAATTAATAATCGATAAAGGGTTAATAAAGCCTTCTTTATAGTTAGAAGGAAAATCAATCTTAGAGATAATTCTAAATATGTAATAGATTCATTAATGAAGTCTATCAAAACTTTGAAGTGTTGTCATGGAGATTTACGTCAATTACATAACCTCGAGCATCCGAATCAACTTGTATATATCGTGTAGTTATGCAATTCTCGCGGAGATTATTTGTAAAAGTGTTAGCATAAGTGTTATTAATGATTAAGAACATCTGATTTGAGCTAATTGGAAATGATAAGGTATTAATTATTAATTGATAAAATGTTAATAAAGCCTTTTTTATAGTTAGAAGGAAAATCAATATTCGAGATAATTCTAAATGTGTAATAGATTCATTAATGAAGTCTATCAAAACTTTGAAGTGTTGTCATGGAGATTTACGTCAATTACATAACCTCGAGCAACCGAATCAACTTGTATATATCGTGTAGTTATGCAATTCTCGCGGAGATTATTTGTAAAAGTGTTAGCATAAGTTTTGTTAATGATTAAGAACATCTGATTTGAGCTAATTGGAAATGATGAGGTATTAATTAATAATTGATAAAGTGTTAATAATAAGCCTTCTTTATAGTTAGAAAGAAAATCAATCTTCGAGATAATTGTAAATGTGTAATAGATTCATTAATGAAGTCTATCAAAACTTTGAAGTGTTGCCATAGAGACTTATTTATATATGAGACAAAGTACACTCCCTTGAGGAACTGTTGCCATGGTAATATCCAATTAATTATGTACGTTAATATAAACTCTAATTGCATTTTTTTTTTCAAATGAACAAATGAAGAATGTGTAGGTGTGGACGCTTCTCGTTTATCGCGTATTCAGCGCGACGCGACGGCGTTAATCCGTTCGCGGCTTATCGCTGCGCGCTTTGACAGGCAGAGTTTTTGTATGTGTTTTTGTGTATGTGTGGAGCAAACAAAGTTATTGATTTATGGCCCTTTTAGGTATTATCAATAAATTAGCCTTGCCTTGCCCACGTAATTGCAAAACAATTGGATTAATAGATGCGAACGTCGACGCCTCTACTAGAATTAATTGATAAAAAAAAATGAAGAAACTTTAATTCATAGAATAGTGATGAAACCTAAAACAAAAGATAAACTTGAAGAGTTATAGAAACAATGTGTGGTGCACGCGCACTCGTGATGTTTACTATTCGTAGATAAGTTTTATTTATCGAGTTACGTGAGTAATTTTCTAAATGCTGATACAATGATGATTAACGAAAGGAATTCCAATAAAAACAAATTGATTAAGAATTGTACGTGTACAAAATGTAAGAAGAAATATCTTTGATCGCGTGGTGTGTACGTACCTTTAATTAAATCATTGCAAATTTATTGCGTATTGATGTATCAGTCTGTAGGAGATCAATTATCAAGAAATTAGTAATAACAAAGATAAATTAAGTATAATAGAACATATTTGGTGGTTTGTACTTACCTTTATAAAGTAATATTTGTTAATCCATATGAAATTTACTAAGATTTTTTTTTTGTAAATATGCGGTCTGCTTTTTTTCTGTCATAGTGTGTACGTACCTTTAATTAAAGCAAATTTACTGCGTATTGATGTATAAGTCTGTACGAGATCAATCATCATGAAATTAGTAGTAACAAAGATAAATTAAGTATTAGAGAATATATCTGGTGGTTTGTACTTACCTTTATAAAGAAATATTTGTTAATCCATATGAAATTTGAAGAAATTTACTAAGATTTTTTTTTTGTAGATATGCGGTCTGCTTTTTTCTGTCATAGTGTGTACGTACCTTTAATTAAAGCAAATTTACTGCGTATTAATATATAAGTCTGTACGAGATCAATCATCATGAAATTAGTAGTAACAAAGATAAATTAAGTATTAGATAATATATCTGGTGGTTTGTACTTACCTATATAAAGAAGTATTTGTTAATACATATTAAATAATTATAAAATTTAGGAAATTTGAAGAAATTTACTAAGAAAAAAAAAATATTTGTAGCTTTTTTTCTGTCATAGTGTGTACGTACCTTATTAAACAAATTGTAAATGCAATCACAATAACTACAGAAGATTTGTATATAAATTTGCAAGATCATTTACAGACAAATCAAATTACAAACTAACAAAATCAAGCGTTTCATAACTCTTTTGTTTCTACTGCTTTTCGGTAACTAGATTAATCGAATTAATCGAAATCCAATCGTAGTAAATACACACATAGCATATTAACGTGCAAAGATCAATCGCAGTTAAATTACAGAGGATTCAACTGTTTGTTGTTGCATCGATGTAACTATTGAAATTCACTGGTTTTGCTAATGCTTCGCGTATACTGCAATATTCGTGATTAATTTATGTACACTAGTTTAATTAAACCCTTTATCTATTGAAATTCAATTAATTTCATTTGTGTTTAACATCACACAGAATTATGCAGTTTTTGCATGCGACATCTAATGAATGTAATTAATATATTTTGAATCCGGAGTTCCACAAGGTACTGTACTTAGTCTTATATGCATCCCCATTCAGTTGAATAAAGCAACTACTGAAAAATTGTTAATTATTATAAAAAAAAAATTGAATTTTAGAATTTTGAATGAATCTGGAATTCCACAAGGTATTGTACTAGGACTCATTTATACCCATGTTTTTTTATTTCGATAAGTGTGTGAAAGTGATTGCAATAATCTTAATTAATGTTGTGTGTTTTTCGTTGATCTGTTGCAGAGAGGACACGAATGCAAGGCCACGCATCGTTTGACTGTCGGCGTTCATCTCAGATTCGGTCCGTGCGTCAGCAAGAAGAGGTACAGACCGAAGTTCTGCGGTCACTGCGAGCTGCCCGGCTCCTACTGCAGACCTCTGTTAAGCACCACCGTGAAAGTCGACTTCGTCTGCGCCACTCCGACACCCGATGATACCGAATCCGTGGACGACTTGCTCCCAGAATTCCTCGAACCCGGCAGAGATTTGTGGACGGAAGAGCATCCGCCTGAAGACGGAATAGTCGTGTCCACTTCTGTGCAATGGGTACTGAAATGCAGCTGCGATACGAACGCACCGACAGCTTTGTTGCATCGCGTCCACAGGACTGCAGCATCGCCTTGAAGAATACCAAAAGAAAGCGAAAAACAACAGCAACAACAAGAAAATATCATAAATATATATACAAATATACATAACACATATATTCTATTTTTGGTTAACATATATATCTAGTAGATTCAAGGTTATTGTATTTAAAAAACAAACAAAGAAAGGATAGAGTTATTATTGTAAGCGAAACGATAAAAGATCGTGCCTTTATGTCTAATTACAAACAAACAAACAAACAACAACGTTAATCGCACACGTATTTTTCTCTCCTATTAAGTGTAGACGCATTCAGTTCGATCCAAAATGAAATAGTCTCGTGACGATGATGATTTGTTGTGACTTCTAAATGAGTTGAGGACCAAATTTTTAGTATATAGTTTTTGTTTTGTTAGTTAGTTTTTTTTCTTCACTTTTTAATCTAGAGATCGACGCATATACAGGACGAATGTTTAGTCAGAATGTCTAGTCGTAAATTGTAACCGAAACTGATCGTTCCAAGTGTGCATGTAAATGTAGCATTATAGACACACCGTAATAATAATACTAATAATACTAATAATAAATTTGAAGAAGAAGAAAAAAAAACACTTGACGTTGACAGTTCATGTACGTAACTACTGTAACCGTTTTCTTTCAATATAGTCGTAATAGCGAATAATTTAATTTACTTAATTTGTCCTTAGTCCTTTTGTCCTTTTACAAATTTAAGTTTTTTTTTCTAGCAATTATTGACAAATTTTGAAAAATTATGTAAGGAGTTACGAAAAAACGTCATTGAAACATCTGAATTTGAAGTTCCACAAGGTAGTGTACTGCGTCTCATTTATATCCTTAACCTAAAAAAAAAAACAATTGAAACATTGATCAAAATTTGCGACCGTTTTTAAATATTCATTTTTTTTTATAAAGAATTTGGAACAAATATTTCAGTAATTAAGATCATTGAAATAAAACTGAAATTACGGTAGAGGTCAGCACGTGTCGCGCCCGTATTCAGTTTCAGCGGTTTCACGATAGATGGATGCACCGCTGAATTCCTGAAAAATAGCTCTAGGAGACGTTGTAAATTATATCGGAGAGAAGACCTGTTGAGCTCTTTCAGCCGTTCGAATTTATGTAACACACTTTCATTTGTTCCACGTAATTTATGCGTCGCCATCAATTCTCCGCTCACTTCTCTGCTAATATTTCTCCTTGTTTCTTTTTTTTTATATATTCAGTTTATTCATTGCATAATTTAAAAGTTAATACTTTACGAAACTTCTTTACACTTTCACTTTCATAATATTCCATCAAGATGATTTATTCACATAAAGTTACTTAAAATAAATACAGTCTGAAATTTTTCTTCTGTTATTTTTATTATATTCATTAACATTGCAATAAAATTAATGAATCAATTTTTATATTTATTTAAATTGTCGAAAATTTTGAAACAATCTATGTTAATCTAAAGAAGTAAAACCTAATTAAAGTAAAGTATTTTATGTAATTTTCACTATGCTTTTATTATCGGTTTACTACATTCGTGGCTTTTCTCAAATATTTGTCTCATCTAATTGGATTCAATTTGCGTTCAGAATTGGATGAATTCCTATGTCGCTGATATTTACGCAATCACCATCATCGAAACAAATGATCGATCTTAATTTTCTCAGAGCTTCCGGATCGGTAATTTCGTGATTGGCTCTGGAATATTTGTACAGAGCGACGGAGAAATTGTCGGGCAAATATCCAGCAACCTGGAATCAAAGTAAAACAAATGATTGAGTAAATATTTTTTCTCTTTTGTTTTATTTTTTTTGTGTGTGTTTTTGTGTTACTTACAGCCGAAAAAAACGAGAATCTATGTGTCAATTCGTAGCCTCTCCTGATGTGATAACGAACGAAAGTCACTCTCTCTACGTAATCCAATAGAAACAATCGGTAAATTGCGTTACGTAATGAAAAAAAAAACTAATAAAATCAAACCTTGCTCTGGAACATTGTTCACAATCCTCTTGACATCCGCGTCTGTCCAAGCTGCGGTCGCCGCAGCTACAGTCACCACCAGCATTACCACAAGTATTTTCATGATCGATTTCGCTACTCACTAAAATCCGCAATTATCATCCACAACACTTTATACTCTCCGAAACGTATCCTATCTACGATCCAAAATCCACAATGCATATAAAAAAAAACGTTTTGTTCGTAGTCAGTTCATCCTTTATCACGTAATCCCCCGGCAAAACAATTGCCGTCGCTCCATTGTTCGACAGTCAAAGTTCTTGGTTTCACAAAGTAAACGAGATCGTGTTTACATTTTACCTCTACGATGCAATTAGTCGACAAAGTTCTCATATCTCTAACAAATTTTGCATTGTTTTGTTGATTTTTGTTTCTGTTTTTTTTTTAGTTTGCAATTGTTTATTAACATGTGATTCCGTCATCTTTGTTTACACTGCTTAATTTTATTTACCATAGCAACAGTATGGAAAATATATTAACTTATTTTTGTTTTCTTCCACATTACCAACGTTTTTTTTTTAATTATTTTAGAAAAATGTAGTTATTTTGTTACAATAAGTATGGTATTCAATTTAATATATATAATTAATAAGTATTTCTATTTAATTGAAAGCTAATAATAAATCGTTGCCAACTTTTCTGTAAAATGATTACAGAAATTTTATAGTTATTTTAGAAAAATATGATTGGTAACAAATTCAAAATTTTTCAATTATTTCAAAAAGAAAAAAAATTGCCAACTTTAACATAATAAAATTATTACCAATCCTTAGTTAATTTACCAAATTATGATTAGAATTTAATTCATTACAACAAAGAAATGTTACCAACTTCTTTTTACAATTATTATTGCTAATTTCTACTTATTTTACCAAAATAATATTGGTATTAAATTCATAATTTCTCAATTATTAAAACAACGAAAATCATTATCAACTTTCTTTAAAATTATTAAAATTACTTCACGAAAATAAGGTTTGTATTTTTTTTTAATTTTCAATTGTTTATTAACATCTGATTCCGTCATAATTGTTTACAGCACTTAATTTTATTTTCCATAGCAACAGAATCAAATATTTTTTGTATTAGATCATTACCAACGTTTTTTTTTATTATTGTTACAGCTAATTTACAGTTATTTTATTACAATAAGATTGGTATTAAAATCATTACCAACTTTTCTTTACAATTATTTCAGTAACTTTATAGTTATTTTACAAAAATGAGATTGGCAACAATTCAAAATTTCTGAATTATAACTTTCTTTCTAATTTATATTGCTAATCTCTAGTTACTTTACCAAATTAAGATTGGTACTAAATTCATAATTTCTCAATTATTAAAACAACAAAAATCATTACCAAGTTTCTTTAAAATTATTAAAATTACTTCACGAAAATAAGATTCTCATTTTTTTTTTATTTTCAATTGTTTATTAACATCCGATTCTGTCATAAATGTTTACACTACTTAATTTTATTTTCCATAGCAACAGTATCAAATATATTTCAACTAGTTTTTTTATCACAACATTACCAACATTTTTTTTTTATTATTATTACAGCAAATTTATAGTTATTTTATTACAATAAGATTGGTATTAAAATCATTACCAACTTTTCTTTAAATTATTTCAGTAACTTTATAGTTATTTCACAAAAATAAGATTGGTAACAAATTCAAAATTTCTCAATTATTTCAAAAAAAATAAAAACATTACCAACTTTCTTTCTAATTTATATTGCCACTCTCTAGTTATTTTACCAACAAAATAAGATTGGTATTAAATTCATAATTTCTCAATTATTAAAATAATAAAAATCATTATCAACTTTCTTTAAAATTATTATTGCCAATCTGTAATTATTTCACAAAAATAAGATTCGCATTTTTTTTTTAATTTGCAATTGTTTATTAACATCTGATTCCGTTATAATTGTTTACACTGCTTAATTTTATTTTCCATAGCAACAAAATCGAATTGTTTTCAACTATAACATTACCAACGTTTTTTTTTATGATTACAGCTAATTTGTAGTTATTTTATTACAATAAGATTGGTATTAAAATCATTACCAACTTTTTTTTAAATTATTTCAGTAACTTTATAGCTATTTTACAAAAATAAGATTGGTAACAAATTAAAAATTTCTCAATTATCCAACTTTCTTTCTAATTTATATTGCTAATCTCTAATTACTTCACCAAATTAAGATTGGTATTAAATTGAACATTTCTCAATTGTTACAACAATAAATTAATACCAACTTTCTTTAAATTTTTCTATTATCATTTCTCAATTATTACAACAACAAACCATTACCAACTTTTTTCACATTTGTTAATGGTAGTCTCTAATTACTTCACCAAAATGAGATTGGTTCTATTTTTCACAATTATTATTGTAAATTTGTCATAGAAATTGATATTAATCAATTCAAATTTTTATATTAAATTAAGTTTTTTTTTAAATTCTTTAAAATAATTGAATAAGATAAAATGTATAATGTATAATTATAATGAAAACTGTTGGAAGGTATAAGGTTTTACAAGTGATTATTCATTTATTTTCTTTTGATAATTAACATTTAGAATCGTTGTGAAATTTGTAACGTAGTTGAAAATTAAGGGTGAATTCCTGGGTCGCCGATATCGATGCAATCTCCGTCGTCGAAGCAAATAACCTCGTACAGTCTGGTCAGGGTCGCCTGATCGGTGATCGCATGATTGGACTTGGCGAAGTTGTATAGGGCCACAGAGAAATCATCTCCCAGTTCGTCCGTCTGAAATCATATTTTTTTGTTGTTGTTGTTATTGTTAGGGGAATAAGAAAATAAGTAGAAAGAAAAAAAATACATTTGAAGAAAACAATGATATTTTGGACGTGAATGTTTGCTCTAATTTCACTAGAGATTTAAGCCAATATTGATATTGGATATTTCATTGAAATTATTCATAAGAAATTGTTCAATTTTATAGTATTTTTGATAAAAATCGTCCATAAATTCTTAAATTTGCTTTTAATAACATGACATAAAGTGAGCTAGTATAATCATGTCTTTAACTAAACATTTAAACTACTTAATGATCCATTTGAACTACTAAATATATCCTTTGTTTCTGATGATGTCAAATGATGTCAACAAATATCTGAATGAAACAAATCTTGTTAACTACGCAAGTTTATTAATTAACTTAGAAATTAGGTAATTATACAAAACTTATGAATCATAACTTTATAAGAGTAAATCATAATTAGCAAATGTTAAATAAAACCAAAGAATTCTTGTTTAAAATAATTGTACTTAACAAATTATCAAATATTAATGCGAAGTTAACTTGTACATTCATTAATTATTAAAAAAAATACTTCAGTTTCTTGTAAATAATGAAAAGTAAACTCACGAATCTGGCCTGTTTCTGTTGACTCAGTTCATAGCCACGTTTGATGTGGAACCTCAAGAAGTGCAAACGATCTGAAACATAAAACAAATAAACAAACAAACGAAAATATAGAAACAAAAAAAAAACTTAGTTGTGTTTACAAAAAGTTACATAATTTACGCAGATGTAAAATTAAATTTTGTGAATTATTTCAATGAAAACTTCATCAACTAAATGCAATGTTACATTAATTGTTGTTTACGAAATGGATTATTTGAGAAAAAAACACTGTGAGCTAATAATATCAAGTCATAAATTGTTTAATCCAAAGATAATATGATATAGATTTAGTGTTTTGAATAATTTTTATATTAAGGTTCACTTCAATCACCAACTGAGTTTAACATTCTAAAGTCACGTTAATTTAAGTAGAGTAATAATGTAATAAAATTAGTACAACTGGTATAAATCAACACTTTTGAATCATTGAAAACTGAAAGATTACATAATTATCTAAGAAATTGAAGAGTGAAATTGATACTGCAATAATATCAGATGTTAAATGTATGAAATAATTAAAGTACTGACCTTCTTCTGGGATGTTTTCGACGATACCATCGAAATCATATGTGGGTGCAGCCGAAACGGCAACGAGTAAAGCGAACGCGATTAATGCAAGTTTCATATCGAAGTTTTTCCACCGTCTGAAATTGGAACGATCCAATCGTCCACTTTATATATATACCCGATGCGAAGCACAAATAAATGGAGTGAATATAATAATAAAAAAAAAATTGTACTGTAATAAGTGTACTTAGCGCAATTGAGCGAACTTCGTATCGGCTTTCCTGTTATTTTTTCGTATTATGTTTTGTGTTCGGTTTTGCGTTTGAAAAAGGGATTACAACTTTATGGCCCCCACGGTAGTCACACTTATCGATACGCTTAATCCATCCTCGATCACTCTATTTATTGTTTGCTACTTTACCTACGCACAGCTATTTATTATATATATATTTTTTTTGTACTTTAGTACAAAGTTCAATCAATCATTACTCTTTTTTTTATATATATTTGTATAAAACGTAGAATTCTTATGCATTACTTAAAAAAAGTTACATCATTTAGTATTTTAGTCATTCCCAACTACAATAGTACCAATACTTATTGAATTTTAATTTCAAAGTGCAATAAAAATTAGAAAAAATAAACACTTTGTAAAAGTGAAGGAAAACATTTATTTTGTTTTTGCTCTACTAAATAAAAGTTACCTAATTTAGTAATTTCTTAATTCATGTATGTTCACTACATCTATTGTTACTACTGTAGTTGAGAGAACTTAATGAATTTTGAGTATAAAGTGCAATAAATTTTAGATAAAAAAAAGATTGTAAAAGTGAAAGAAAACGTTGAATTCTTCCGCATTACTAAATAAAAGTTACCTAATTTAGTAATTTCTTAATAAATGTATGTTCACTACATCTATTGCTACTACTGTAGTTGTGAGAACTTAATGAATTTTGAGTATAAAGTGCAATAAATTTTAGATAAAAAAAAGATTGTAAAAGTCAAAGAAAACGTAGAATTCTTCTGCATTGCTAAATAAATGTTACCTAATTTAGTAACTTCTTAATAAATGTATGTTCACTACATCTATTGCTACTACTGTAGTTGTGAGAACTTAATGAATTTTGAGTATAAAATTCAATAAATTTTAGATGAAATAACAGATTGTAAAAGTGAAAGAAAACGTTGAATTCTTCAGCTCAACAAAATAAAAGTTACCTAATTTAGTAATTTCGTAATCTATATATGTTCACTACATCTGTTGTTAATACTGTAGTTGTCGAACTTGTTGAATTTTGACTATAAAGTGCAATAAATTTTAGAAAAAAAAAAGATTGTAAAAGTGAAAGAAAACGTTGGATTCTTCAGCACTACCAAATAAAAGTTACCTAATTTAGTAATTTCTTAATCTATATATGTTCACTACATCTATTGTTACTACTGTAGTTGAGCAAACTTGTTGAATTTTGAGTATAAAGTTCAATAAATTTTAGATAAAAAAAAGATTATAAAAGTGAAAGAAAACTTTGAATTCTTCAGCACTACAAAGTAAAAGTTACCTAATTTAGTAATTTCTTAATCCATGTATGTTTACTACATCTATTTTTACTATTTAGTTGCGAGAACTTAATGAATTTTGAGATAAAGTGCAATAATTTTAGATAAAAAAAAGATTGTA